CTAGTTTTGCTTTACACCAAGTCTAACTTCTAATTCTAACCACTTACAAAATTATATGAAAATGAAAAGCTTTAATTTTAAAGATAATTGCATTTATACTAAATCATGTTGACCACCAAACAACAAACACACAGTGAATCAAGCCTTTTTAGCCTTCTTGCTATAACAATCTCACAGTGTTGCATGAAATAACTTCTACAATTAATCGGTATAACAATTTGGAAACCCACCCAATTGTTATAACTCCTTAAAATGTCAAGTGAAACAAGATAAGTTTAAAACAAATGGCTACATTTGAGGTCACAATTGTTATTTAAAATGTTATTTTAGTTGTATTGGCAAATTGTTTAGAATTTTTTTCTAAACACAAGTAACTTTTGATGGAACCTTATGGACAATAATTTCTTAAAGAGAAAATTATTAGTCACCCTTATTAAGTAAGAATATGTTGAATTATTTTTTCACTTCCATAATTATTTGAGTTGTATAGAGTTTAATAGAATTATGAAATAACTAAAGGTTTTTCCAAGTCAAAGAGCCTGCTTCTATTTCATTCATTATCTCACTCTCACTTTATTTGTTATTTTATTTTATCATTTCATACACATTCTTATATTTTCAACAAAATCTCATGAATAACATACTCCTTATACATGTTATGAATGTATAAATTTAATTGGATTAACTTTTTTGTGAAATAACTAGAGATTTTATTTCAATAAAAATAATAATTATAATAAAACCCTAATACTCATCCTCAGTCTCTAATACCATAGTAAAATTTAAATTCAAACAATTGATAAAGTTAACAATTATTAAAATATAAACAATCATTCTATTTCTATTAGTTACCATAATCTCGCTTGTTTTTCTTTTTTTTTACATTAAACCTTTCATTTAAATTTATCAATGTACTATTTTTCTATGTCTGGTAATAACTCTAATCACAATAAATTTAACACAAAGAAAAAATACAAGTTTTTGAAATCAAACATGCTCTCACTTTCTTATTTTGTTTCTTTTTTTTCACTCTTCTCATTTCACGGGCTTTTTAATCATTGATAATGATGTAAAATTTAATATCACAATCTCTCTCAAATCTTTAACACCTTCTCATGTTAACAATAGATTCTAATTTAGTAAATTAACCTATTTTATAACTAAACAACTGTATGCTTAATAAAACTAAAATTTTATTAGGTATTCTTGTTGGTGTAATAAAATTTAAAAAACTGATAACGTTGTTAGAAAAAGTTTGAGATTTAATTTTTAAGGATAAGATATTATGGAAAAAAAATATTATCTATCATTAATTTAAAATTAATTATGTTTTTGAATAATTTAAGTCAGATTAGTACCGTAAAAATCATTTTCTTAATTTATACATCTCTTTATTTTTTAAAACTAAACTCCTGCTTAGACTGTCACTTTATGAAACTAAATCCTTCCTTATAGTGTTCATTGGTGCTTTGAATGATCCATGCTAAGTAAAAAGGATCTTTTGTTACTGTTTAAAAAAGCACAGCAAGAATTGTTATTTCATTTGTTGCTGTAAGATGTAAACTGTGAGTATTTTAAAAAAAATAGATATATTTTATTTTATTAAGTAGTTTTTTCGATACTGTGTATTATTTTTAAATTTAATATTAAATTTAATTTTTATAATTTTATCTAAAATAGCAGAACACATATTATTAATAATTATAAAATTTACATTTTTTAAAATGTATTAAATTTAAAATTTTCATATAATATATTTTTAATTCAGTATTTAAAAAAATAATTTAATTTAATTATACATGACCGTGAAATGTTCATAAAATGACTAAAAGTAATTATTTGTAGATTATTTTGAATAAAAATCCAATCAAAGATTACCACATAGATATAGTTTAATTGTTAAGCTTAGCAATGTGAGAAAGTAATAAAAGCTTATATATTACAAATTAAAATTATAATAATGATGATCATTGTCACAAATTAGATCAATAGGAAACCTTGAGTTTGAAATAAATATTATATATATAATCGTAAATAGGCGAATGTGCACGATTTCATGCTATTGAATATAAGAGATATATTAGCAGTGAAAGAGAAAAAAAAAGGATTAAATTGCATTTTCAAGTCTTTATAATTTATTTTACATGCAATTTTTTAATTTTAATCACTCTCTTTTTAAAAATTATTTAAATTCAATTTTTATTTCAAAATTACTTAATATTTAATAAAAGTATAATAATGCTGTGTAGAGCTTTAAAAAAACAAAACTGTTCAGCCCATTGAGAATAGCCTATTACAAAAATAAAAGACTTTTGCAGGCCTCAAAAGGTGTAAATTTAATTTAAGCTTTTAAAATTATATCTAAAAGGAATAAATGTTTATTTTTTTGTGAGTCTTTGCATTAGACTTAAACAAATCATGCTAAAAAAAATTTAAATTTAATTTAAACTTAATATTTAAATTTATCATTTTTATTAGACGGGTTTAAGCTCTTCCAATTAGGCAGGACTATTTTATTAGTTCTAATGATGTAAAATATTATTAATTTATAAAAGTTAATGTAAAATAATAAATTGAATGTATCAAAATATTATTTTATTTTATTTTTATATAATTAATTCATATACTTTTTTTCTATACAACATAATAAATATTGTATATTCTTATTTTATTATTATATGTCTGATTATGACATAATTTCCATATTAGATACATTTTCTCTTCAATTTTTAATAAATAATTATTCACATAAATCAGGAAAAATTATAAAAATAATTTTTTATAAATGGAAACAGAACTCATTTATTTTGTTGTTATTTTTTCATTATATTTAGTTTTATATGAATTTAATTTTCATACGTCATCAGTGTAAATTTTTTTTTTACTGAGAAATAATTAAAATACATAATAATTTTAATTTTAAATTAATAATTATGTCTAATAAAAAATTTATATTAAATAATAGTGTAAAAAATTATATTCTCGATACATTCTAATTATATTTTTTAATATTTTTACCAGAAAAATTTAAATAACACATTTTAATTGAATATACTGATAACGTAAAGATTTTTTATATTATTATTTAATAATAAATTATTATATTGATAACATTTATTAAATTTTATAATAATGAATTTAAAAATTATATTTATAATATATTTTAATAAAATTTATATTGATCATATTTTAAAATTAAATTTTGTTTATTTATGTATTTATTTATTGTTGAATAAAATTCTTATGAGAGCCACATGATAAAGTGAGTCTCGTTGAATTCTATTTCTCATTTATTGAGTCAAACATGACTTTTTCTATATTAAAAAATTAAATTAAAAAGAATCAACTTATTAAAAAATTATATTACTAGCATTGATATTGTATAATCACGTGACTATTTATGATATAATTTCATATAACATATCTTTCCGCTTAATTAAGGTTGAAAATACATTTTTACATATACAAAAAGAAATTTCAAATAATTACATAACAAACTTCAACCTTTTTGTCCTTTTTTTATTTTTCTTGAAATTTATAATAGACATATAAATAAATAACACATTTTTAAATATTTTTTTATCATTATATAAAATTAATTTGAAATCTAAGTAACAATGTGGGTGACATTGAGTTTTATTTGTTGTTTAATAAGTCTAACACAAATTTCATCAAATAAAAAGTACATCAATAAATAATTATCACTTTTTAAAAAAGTTAAACAACTTGTTTTATTGTTAATTCTGTAATTATGACATACTTTTCATGGTAGATAACTTTTCTATTAATTTTTTAATAAATAATTGTTCACATAAAAGAAAAAAAGAAGGTAAAAATAGATTTGTCTAATTTTACTTAAAGAACTCCATTGTTTTATCATTATTTTTTTTAATAATTTTACTAGAAAAATTTAAATAGCTTATTTTTAATATACTTTATTTCATAACGTATTTTTTTTATTATTAAATAAAGTTTATGTGAGACTAACAAGTAACAAACACATCGAAGTGAGCCCACTGAACTCTATTTCTTAGTTATTGAAGCTAAGACAAATTTTATGACAATAGAAAAAAAAAAAACACCGACAAATTTTGCATAATATGAAATTGGAAGAAATAATGCATTAAAAAAATTGCTAGTATTAATCATTTTATTACTACATGCATATGATTTATTTCTATATAATATAGTTTTTTTTCTTCTTAATTTTTTCATGTAGAATTGTAAATGTACATGAAAAAATAGTTTAAAAAATTCTAATAACTTTACTTACCGAATTCAACTATTTTATCCTTATTAATTTATTTTATATTTTATATTTATTTTTTTATTAACAGAACGATACACAAATTATTATTTTTTAATACACATTTTAATACTATATTATATTTTTTTAAAATATTTTTATTATTAAATTTTTTTTATGACACTCATCTATTAATATAAGTTAAATTCACTTTTATTTTTCTTCTAATGAATCTAACAAACTTTATTTAATAAAAAAAGTGTGACACATGGCACTTGAAAAGAATATTTTTATACTTATTTTATTATATTTATATAATAATTTTCATATCAAATAAATTCTCTCATAAATTTCATTAAATTAATTCTTACAGAAAAGGAAAAAATGTAGCAATAAATTTCAGCATCATTTGACTAATTCTAACGTTAAATTATATTAAAAAAAGTTCCACCACCTTTTTGGTTAGCATCTTTTAATTGGATTGTATATTTAAAAAACCCCACCTCTTGGTGAACCCTCACACCCTCATTTCATTTTCAGACACGAATCTTCATTGTGTGCACCCTATCCATTCCTATTTCCTCAAGAAAATCCGATACTAAGAAGTGCCACTTCTCCACTATAAATTCTCATCACAAGCAACACATCAACACCAACTTTCTTCTCTATCAACACCAACTATAAATTTTCATACTTAACTTTTTCTTCTTCTTTTTGGTTTTTGAACGAGACTTTCGAGTTTCTGATTGCACCAATGGCTGAACATGGCGTAGCAATCTCTCTCTCAAATGCCTCTCCAACCTCTGAGTCTTCCTCCTCCGAACACCACGCCCTCCACACCACCGGCGCCTCCTCCCACCACCAGCCACCGTTATCCACCGCCGTCTACCCACTTAACCCAACCCCACAATCCAAGAAGCCACGTGGCAGGCCCCCGGGCTCCAAGAACAAGCCCAAGCCCCACATGATGATGGGCCAAGGCGGTGAGCCCGCCATGAAGCCCATCGTCATCGACGTGCCGCAAGGAAGCGACGTCGTGGAGGCGATTACAAACTACGCGCGTCGGCGCCACGTGAACCTGACGATCCTGAGCGCGTCTGGCACAATCGCTAGAGTCACTCTCTGCCACGCGATCTCTCGTGCCCCCGCTTTCACCGTCCATGGACCCTTCAACCTAATGTCTCTCTCCGGCACTTACCTTTACAATTCCCAAAATGCCCCTAGTTCCTCTTCCTTATTCACCATCACTTTCTCCGGCGTTCAGGGTCATGTCTACGGTGGCATCATCGGTGGCAAAGTGGTGGCGCAAACCAACGTCTCTGTCATGGTCACTGCTTTCAAGAACGCTGAGTTCTACAAAGTCCCTGAAGGCTCTGAAGAAAGGGACAACAATGATGACAACAATAACGATAATAATAATGATAATAACAATAATAACAACCCTAATATTTCTGAATTTGGTGGAAACGAGAACATGACCGGGTTCAATGTCAATCCCTGGGGGGTCGTTATGTGAACGAGTTACTGAAGACAACATAAATCTCTCCTAATGTGTTAGGTGTCGTGTTTTTTGTTTTCTTAATTTATTTGATTTCTGGGTTTTACTTCAATTGTGTAGTGGAACTGTTAATTAGTCAGTTATTACAGTGTTATGATCACATAGCTAAAATAATAGTAGGGCTATGTTTCTCTCTTTTGTTGCTTTATAATATAAGTTTGTTGAAAAGATTTATGTCTATTTGTTGTTTATTTAATTTAATTTTCTTTTATTTAATTGATTCCAGCTTTTTCTTTTAACTTAATTATCTTTCATGCGAAAGAGTTCATGAATACACAAAGATCTTCAAATCAATGGCGATTTAATGTTTTTTTTTTTTTTTTAATTTCTGGGTGCGTGATGGTTTTTAGAATTGTTGAGGACTTGAAAAGTGTGGCCACTCTTTCTCTGTGTGTGTGTGGTTCCGTTGGACTTGTGTTGGTGTGTGCGGTGCTGCAATGGTAATGTGTGTCAGTGTGGTTTTGGAATTCCATACAATCAATCTCACAGGGTGGGTTTCTTTCTTTTGCTGTTTTCTCGGGAAGTGCCCAATTTATTATCTTCAATGCTGAGAATGGAGACAAATGTAGGAGAAGGTGAAGCAATTCTCAAGTCAATGGAGTTTTCAGGGAACACATGCTGTGGGTGATTCTACTAAACCGCTTTGCACAATCCATGTTTTTATCATTCAGTGTGTAGAGATATTTTTTAGTTTATGGATTTCTTTTCTTTTTTTGTTTCCGTCTACCCTTTCTTTTTTCTTGAATTTAGAATCGTTTCCGTTAAGTGTCATGCATTTCATTAAAATCCTTTAATTCTTCATTATTTTATGAATTCTTTTATTCCCGATCGCGAATGTGCGCAGATTTTATCACAGTCAAGATAAGGTGCATTTAATGCATTGCATAAATCGTTACACATAGTTCATTTTGTGTCAAGATCATTACCACTCAGATTTTGAATATAGCCACGTAGAGCATCTCATCTCAGGTATCAGGCTTGTAAATATCATCAAGATCATTGACCAAACGATCTTAGTTGATGCATACAAATCTTCTCATTTGGGTTGTTGGGACGTGGATCTGCTGAAATTTAGCAAAAAGGCCTTCCTTAATATGATATTATTAAAGTTTTTATTACGTGGGAAAATCTTAACGATGAATTTTAAAGTTATTACTTTCATTTAGTCGTATGTAGTATTATCAATTAGGGAAGCTAAACTACCATTATGGTGCATGTAATGTTACATTAGCTTAAGCTATAAAATGTTCCGTGTTTCTGAAACCAAAACGAGCGATTGATTGAAACCACATATTCAGAAGCAGCATCGGCAAACCAGGTGGTTTTCTCTATTAAATGACAATAGATTTATCTTTTTAGCATTTAATATAAAATATTTATATTATTATTTAACATTATAATAGTATTTTATAAAGGGTGTTTGACTATATTAATTATTATTTTAATTCTTGAAATAACTGATATATTATATTCGTACAAGCACATAAGGGATACACTCTTTCAAATTTTATTATGATGCATAAAAATTAAACTTGAACTTATAAAAAGGCATGATGAAACGTGATGAATCTCTTTGTATGGTTTTAACAATTTTGTGGGGAAAAAAATGTGATGTGAATCTCTTTCATTGTTGTGTTGCTATCGTGAACCAAAGTGTCCCTACCGTACGTTGAAGGTGGATGGAGGGGGTGAAGAGTTTGGAAAATAAGTAACTTTTTCATAAATAAGGCGTGAAAGACTCTAGTCCAAAATCCAGTCAAAATGCTCAGCAATTCAGACATGCATACTTGGTCTTAGATGTGACAATCAGAGGAGTCCAAATCTACTGCTCTCATATTTATGATCTTTTCGTCCTCTTTGAACAGCACCTATCAGACAGTGTGTGTGTGTGTGAGAGAGAGAGAGAAGGTTTTTTTTTTTTTTCATGCACAGGATGAAAGGCTTTTTTGAGTTGAAGGATTGGCTTTATTTAATTTGTTGATACTGATTTTTAAAAAAACAAAGTAAAAAAATTATTAATTCATTATTTTATTATAATGTTGACAAAAAAATTTAATTTAATTACTTGATCATATGTTAAATTTTGGTTTAATAAAGTACAAAGAAAATGAGATAAAGACAAATAAAATTTAAAGTGAATAAAATTAAAAACATTTTTATTTTAAAAAAATTCATTTTTCCTTCAATTAAAAAATATCATCATTATATTTTTTTCTATTTTATCTTTCATTTTTCTATCTGAACAAAGTTTGAGAGAATTGGTTTGTAAGATCTCTATTCATTTGACAAAAAGAAATTATTATTGTGATGGAAAACTGAGGAATGGTACTTTATTTCATGAGATTTGAGGTGGAAGCTGAGCTCAAGTGGGGGTGCACGCGAGCTCTGGTAGAAGCAGTGCAAATTTGTAGTGAAATGACTTTCCAAGGCTTCTATGCAAGCGGAAAACTAAAGCTGCATTGACTTCTTTCCACTTACCATTTCAAATAGCATTGCACACTATCAAGTACTTCACCAGATGGTCAAAGTTCAGATCTTTCCTTATTTTTTAATATTTTATGTACATAATCTACGTAAATAAAATTAATAAATATTCAAACATTGTTACCTTAAATTAAATATTCATTTGAATTTGATGCACTTATTTATAGTATATTAAAATAGTAATATATTGAATGTTTTATATGCGTTTGCTTTTGAAAGAATTATCATTTTTTGTACAATAAAATAAAATCATATTTAAAGTGTACATATAAATATATTTTATGGGTATCATACACTAAATTAATCCTATTTATTTGACAAATAAAAAACTATTTTTTCCTTAATTTCAATTCCATTAATCACAATTAAAAATTTATTGTTTTGACCATTCCATTCTCTCTCCCGCAAATGGGATCCCAAAACCATGAGCAAACAAATAGGCTTTTAATAATTGTAACGTAACGTAACATATTGTTTTGACTGGTTTTTCTCGTCAACGTATTTTCAAATTCAGTATTTATTCATTTATTATGTGTATATATATATATACATGGATCTAGAAAAGTGTGATTTTGGCTATTATGGTAAAAATGGTTTTCTTACCAAAAGAAGTTGTTGTTAGTTAATAGAAAGGATTTGAAGAGTTTTGAAAAAGGTCCAAGCATCAAAACCCTTAGGATTCTACTTTACCAAAAAGAAAAGCCTTTATTTAATTAATATTTCATTTGAATACATGAAACGTGACAAACAATGGCACGATCCTTTTCACTTTCTTTGTTTGGAGAGAGGGAGAAAAAGCAAAAGGGTGAAGGGAAAAAAACATAGAGTGAGTAGAGATTATAACAAGAAGAAAATTGAGAGGCGAGTGTTGGAAACTTGCGAGGTATGTGACTTTTTGATGGGTAGGGGTCAGTGTTTGAAGATGTAGCATTATAGGGGGCCTCCTTCCTATTGAACAGCAACTGAACCACACCGTACACTGCTAAAGCAACACAACAGAAGGCTCTTTTATAGGTTAGACTTTAGGATAACATTCTCCAACGCTTAGGTTATTAGGAGTAATTTTGTACCAAACACTTGGGAGCTGGATGCACCAACGGGAGACAAGACAAAATGTTATTGTACTACAGTGATGATCCAGGGGATTTTCATGTGCTTTGCTTTTGTGTCCATGAGTTTTTTCTTCCATTCTCCGTGCCCATTGGTTACATTTTTACTTATATATTGAAAATTTTGCTTAATCAATGAATCATTTTGAAATTTTGTGGCTTTAATACCTTATCATGATGTTATTAGAAGAGTTTATTATCTTAAATTATTTTTGTTTAGACCTGACGTGATTTTGTAATTAAGATGTTTGTATTAGGTTTAAAATCAATTCATTTTAAAGGGTGTTTAGGAATTAAGTGTATTCGATCATTTGGACTGACTTAACTAATTAACGAGTAAAGGAATTGGGTGTAATTGAATTTCAAAGTAACAAGTTCGATTATCATTTTCGGATTAAACACCAGGTTAACCTTTGTGCAATTAATTTGACTCAATCCAACTTTGTTTCTACAGGTAGCGTTTCAATTATATTAATATTTATGTTTGTGTACTGTATTTAAAAATAAAAACATAACGTATTGTATATTGTACTGTGTTTAAATATAAAAATTATGAAAATAATTTATATAATTTTTAAAAATTATAAAAATTATTTTTATCTTAAAAGTTTACTCTTTGTATCTTTAAAAAAGAGACACTAGTATTTATTTATTTATTTTAAAAAATACACTAATATTTTTTGAATTTATGTTTCAGTTCATATCTTGCGATGTAGGGCAACTACTTCTCATTTTGAGTAATGGAAAAGTTCCTATACAAGAATCAGTAGAACATTGACGGGAATCAAACGATGATCTACTAGAAATAGTTTGTCACTTTTTGAGGATAACTACGGAAGAAGACTGATTATTATTAGAAGACTGACTGTTATAAAGAACATAATAAGAGATTTTTTTTTATCAGATTTTGAATCATATTACAAACTAGAATCAAACATCTTTCTTCACATATATACGTGAATTCATTAATATTAACAGAGCTGTTAGCCAAAATTAAAGGTATAGGTGTTTGAGGCTTAATAAGAGAAGAGAATTTACTTAAGATGTAAAACTTTTGTATTTATATTTCTTCAGCAAGACACTGACTAAATATAATAGGTGTGTATTTGTGTTTATGTTTCAGAATCAAACGCTATCATAGATAGATATAACTTTTTTAACTTTGGACATGATTACTCTGTCCAAATCAATCAATTCATAATTGGATTGAGTTGATTGTTAAAAACATTAAAAAATAAATAAATTTGACCCAACCATTATGTTTAATTAAATTAAGTAAATTTGTTTCATCAAACTTTACTGGACCTGTGAATAGAAAACTTAATTTTCATTCTTTCCGTGTATTTGAATGTTGCATTATTTTTT